AAGGACATGATCTTGTAACAATATAATCCCCTGGGAGTTGTAAATGATGTGACCTCCTGGTCCAGTTTATACATAGCGATCTGATGGAAACCTCTATACGCATCAAGAAAGCTAAGTCAGTTGTGCCCTGCAGTTAGGTTCACCAGTTGATTTATTCATGGTAGAGGAAAGCTGTCTTTCAGGCATGCTTTGCTGGCTGTTTTGTAGTCCACGCAAACGCGCCATTTGCCGTTCTTTTTTGGTACCACTACCGTGTTGGAAATCCACCTGGGATAGTGTATTTCTCTGATTGCCCTTGTTTCCAGTAGGTTTCCCACTTCTTCTGCCACTATCTCTGCATGGTGGAGTGCCGATCGGCGAGTTCACTATACAATTGGTCTGGCGGTTAGGTGGACATTGAGTTGATGGCAAATGAAATTAGTGTCAATGCCAGGCATGTCATACGACATCCAGGCGAACACTTGACCTCTATTCTCTCGGTGCTAGACAAAGATGATCCGAGAAAAAAGAACTTCTTTGGGTTTTTCTCATCTATTCTTATCTCTACCAAGTCTTCCACTACTTTCTGTTCGGTTGTTTTGCTGACGTCTGCGAACAGCTCGTTGCTTTCTGGCTCTTCTACCATTTGTACAAACCCTTTTGCAGCCCAGCTGCCATTTACTGTAATGAAGCACTGTTTGGATATGATTTGGTCTCCTAAGACTTCTTCAATCATTCCTGTTTCATTGGGGAACCGTAACACCTGATGGTAGGTCGATGCCACCGCTCGTATGGCGTGCAACGATGCTCTTCCCAAGATTATGTTGTAAGTGGAAAGGACTTTCAATACTCAAAATTTCACCTGTTTTGTCATCGTTCTTGCCTTGACTAGCAGAATTATCTTGCCAACCAGCCATTCTGGCATTGAGTTGAAACCAACTAGGGGAGATGTCGCGGGTGCCAAGTCTTTGTCCTCCAATTTTTGTTGCTTGAAAGTCTCGTAGTACATTATCTCGCATGAGCTCCCTTGGTCAATTAGGATCCGCTTGATGTCAAAATTCTTGACGCGCAGAGTAACCACCAGTGTGTCATTGTGAGGGCTTTGTAACCTGGCTAAGTCTTTATCAGAAAAGGTGATGACATTCGTTGCCTTCGTTTTTCCCTTTTTCATGGTAAGTTATGCACTTAGTACCTCTGTCATGTGCTCAACCTTTTGATCATCCCACTGAGTTCACATACTCATTCAAGTTCGATGATCCCATGTATTACATCGATTATGCCTTGGAGCGGACCATCGACCGGCATCCCATCCGTCCTGTTGTGGTCCTGGGGGGTTGGCTGCATTCCCCCCTCAACATATTGGTCCAGGTGGCGCACGGCCACTAACTCTTCCAAATGTTGCCTTAATGGCATACAATTTTCAGTTCGGTGCCCCTTTTCATTATGGAAGGTGCAACGGTACCTATCATCGAAGCCCCTTTGCGCTTCTCCCAACTTGGCTGGTCGCCGAACGAAGGGTTCATCGCGTATCTCGCTAAGAATCTGGTAGATAGGTTTATCGAATACCGTGGTGATGGCAGTGCGGACTCTTAACTTTCTTGCTTGAGGGTCCTCTCTGTTGGCTCGTCTACCTCGCCCATTTTTGCTCGGTTGTTCTTCCTGTCCAACCGTGTTAACTTTTGCCGCAAGTTTTTTGTCTATCATCGTTGTTGTGCCAGCTTTTGCTTTGGTGTGCACGACATTTTCTTCTACCCGGATATGCTGATTGCTAAGTATAAAAAGAGTTCCTCCCCTGGTACTGGGGTTACCAACAACGGTAGGCAGGCCATGTATTCTTTCAGACTCTTTCCATTAGGGCCTCTATTGTGAGGGGTGGTGTCATCGTCATTGAATCCTGCAATTTATTGCCAGCCGGCAAACCTCGTTTCTACTGTGCAATAGCTAGGTTTGTGGGGCAATCTCCAATTTGATTAAAAGTCTCCCAATACCGGTTATTGTAAGACGTCAATGTTTCCTTCTCACCCATGTCTGTGGAGAGAAGCTGGTCAATCTCCACTGGCATCTTGGTGTTCGTTTTGAATCTGGTCACAAATGCCTCTGCTAGTTGTGCCCATGAAACTATACTACCTTTTGGCAACCTCTCAAACCATGTTAAACTCAGGTCGCCAAGGCTAGAAGAAAACAGGCTACACATTAGAGCCTCGTTTTGCCGATACACGGCCATAACCTAGCGGAAGTGGCTCAAGTGCATGTAAGGGTCTGACTTCCCCTCATAAGTAGTGAATTTGGGCTAGTAGAAGCCTGAGGGTAATGGTGCACTCTCTATCGTCAGAACGAACAGCGAGCTCTGTAACCTCGCTAACGCTTTGTCTGCTCCTTCGTAGGCAAGGTCTAGTTCTGGCATCCCAACCTCGACACTCCCATGTGTTCTAGGCGCCAACCGTTGCAGCGCTGAGACTCTATGGAGGTCGCGAGCCTGAGTATCTTCTCTCCTTCGAGTCCTTTCCTGTAACACTGTATGCAAGTCTGCCGACCTAGGCAACTCCGTGTGCCTAGATGTTGTTTAGTGTGAATGCGAGGGACGATAACTGTTTCCCTCTGTATAAGACCTTTCAGTCCTCGTTCTCTCAGACCTAGAGTAACGAGTCCTGGAAGTCCTTGACTATGTGTCACCTATCCTGAGGCTTCTACTTTTAGCTTGTGACAGTGTGACTTGCCTGTCACATTCTTCTGAGTGGCCAGAGTGCGTGTTGCCTTTGCGCCGTTCTTCTGTTGCCATCCATTTGCCTTTTATCTGGCACTTCATCGCCTCCATATTTGCCCGCCATTCTCCATATCAATTCGTCTTACTCCTTTACGCGATCCTCCAGAACCTGAGGATCCATCCTCCGTTTCTGCCTATCAGGGCTCTGAGAGCGATGAGGGCTTGAGCCCTGCCTTTCTCGTGTGTCTCTCTGTGGGTTCCATCGTTGGGAATCTAATTCTGTCATAAGTGGGATAAAAGGTAAACCTTCACGCCTCCGACCTCCTTCCAAGGTCTGCCCATCAATAGCAAAATGTGGTAAGTCTTCATTGTGCACCATAGATTTCAACTAAAGAGGAAACTCAATCAAAAGGTTTGTTCTTTGTGTGATTTCCATAGACGGCGCCAATTGTATGAGCACAGAAATAATCTTCTCGTATAATCTTGTTGATCAAGTTTGCACTCCTTCAAACATATCTCTTTGTCACCTGAAAACACAAATGTGAGCTAGCCGGCGGGTGTATACCGAAAACCTCTCCGATGCCTAAGTCAACAAATAAACAATAGACACAAAAGCTCTATATATTCTAGAGTGAGAATTGTGATACTTATACATAGGTCTTGTCATGAGTTTTTGTACATTCTGACTGACACTATCCTGATAGGATTTCAACTCTCCCTATAAGAGTCCTCCTAGGAATCACACTCCCAAGGATAATGTCCATCCTTATAACTTCTTGCTCACTGCTAACCAAGTGAGATAGTTGCAACTATTACCTCGGCTGGCACAAGACTTAACTGTGCTCACACAGCTCAGTGCTACTTTAGGCAACACTGTCAGTCTTGACTTTGATGACGCCCTACATAGCTATCCTTTAGCTCGGCCCCCCTTCCACTGATACTTTGGTCCAAGATAGCTAGGTCATGCCATTGGTAGCCCATCTCTGACCGGCTTGATGCAGATGATCTAGGACCGCGCTACATAAGTAACTACTTCGGCCCATAGTTCGGCCCAAATCTGAAATACGAAATGTCTTCTTGGCCTCATAACGCAACCCATCTTCCAAAGAAGACTCGTCTTAGCTTGGCCCAATTTGTTCACAAATCACCCTCTCAGATTATAAAAGAGAAGAAAGTTTCTAGGGTTTAGAGATGAAAAGATGTGAGATTTGGTTTGATTTTTGAAAAATGACGGTTTGCTGGATTTTCAAAATAGAGGTTATTTAAGGGCCTAAACAGTGAGTTTATGGTTTTAATGGTTAAATTGAAGGCCAATAGGTAGGAGAGAGATTAGGGTTGATTTGGGTGTGATGGATAGGGTTTGGGGGCTAAAAAGTGCACTTTTTGAAGATTGTGAATAGAAATACGAGAACAGTACTTGGGTTATTGGCGCAAAAGAAAGAGAAAGACAAGGACAAGAAGAGAGAGAAAGAGGTTCTTCACCCTTTTAAGGGCTAGGTAAATTCATGCAAACTCAATCCCAAATTCTCATAAATCAAATCTCTATTGAAAATAAAAATTTCATGCATATTTAGGCCAAGTTTGGGAAGTCCCAAATAATTCATCTTTTTATCTTTTTATCTTTTTTCCATCACATCACCTCTCTACTTTTCTACACATCTTTTCGTAAAAAGACAAAAAGTGCACTTATTTAGGTCATCCCAAACAACCCCTTATAAGTTGTTAGAATCTTCTTATTCCTACAAGGACTATGACTATGATTCCATAACTAAGGACAAGCGGTGGAAACTACCACGTTGGAGTATGGTAGGGGCCGAGGGAATTTCTGGTGGTTAGAAACTTTGACCAACTAAAATACTTTAGACCTGATAAGGACTTTATAAAAGACCCAATAACCAATGCTTTTAAAATCGGATCGGCGGTTCAACCGATTGACTGGTCTAGGTTCCAGCCCGGATACACCGATAAACCCTTTCCAGTTCGAAACCAGCCTTTTCCATTAAACCAACAAAACCCACGGTTGAATTGGTCAACCGGAAGAACCGGCACCAGTTCAAGGGAACTGGCCAGGCCTGACATGTCTTCTACAAGCATGGTCAGGCGCTGAAAAAAAAAACAACTTACAAGGTTTGAACTCAAGACCACATTGCTTCTTTCCGCTTAACCAGCAATCACCTTGTTAAATAATAGTGGAAATATTTTATTTATTGTATTCCATTCATTTTCTTCCATATATTACTATAATTAACATTTTTACAAACAATATCAATATAAAAATAAATGTTTAAACTTATAAATAAATGTTTAAACTTATAAAGGGTTCCTGGAATCAAAAACAGAACTACAATAAATGTGTGCTTTATTCTCTTCAATTCTGATTGAAGACTTGGAAACTACTCTTTACCATTTCTCTCTTTTTTTCCTTCCTTCTCTTACTCAACTTTCCCTCTCTTGCTCTCATTGTCTTGTTCTCACCACCACTAAGCTGATTTGAAACTTTACAATTCTGAATCTAAATTGTTTCAAGGATTTCTTTGCTTTTCTTGCTTTTTATAGTTTTTTTTTTCCCCCACTTTCTTCTTTTTTTCCTCACAATATTTTTTCTTTTGTTACTTTGAAGAACCACTGTCATGCATGTTTGTAAAGTAAGTTTTGCTGCAAGAGGGAAAGATTTTGTGATCATTATGAAGAGTTCAGATTGCCTATTCTTTCCATTCACCAAAAACATTCTACTTCAATTTTAGCTCATCAATGGAAAAATGCTAGATTATATCGTCAAGTCCTTGAAGCTCTGACGTGATCCCCATTTCTAAGGGTTAAATTAAGAAAGCCCAGGGTCATAAAGAGTATAAAGGCTGGAAACACTTGCAAATTTCTGAAAACACATGTATGCAATCTGTATGTGTCTTGATTTACCAAACCATTTCTTTTGCCATTCTAAAACAGAATATCTGGAATCTGTTTAACGTAACAGCGATCAAGTAGCTCTTTTGATATCATATATATGCTGACATCATGCACAAAACTTGAAGCTTTCAAAAACCTTCTACTTAATGAATCTCTTCCTATGATTTTATTTTTAAGCCGCCTAGTTTTCAATAAAAGAAAAGGTTTGTTGTGTGTTTTTAACCCAGAATCTTGTCAATTTTGTTCTTTTATTGGGTATACAGTACATTCCTGTAGTCACATTAATAGATCTTCTGTCAGTGTGTAAACTTAGAAGGATCTGTTACTTCTCTTTCATGCAGGGTGTTTCGAGGGCATTAGTTGAAAATGCAAGAACCTTAAGATTGCCTACTTATTTGCATGAAAGATTAAGTTTAATCCGTAATGCAAAGACGAAACATGAAGAGGAAGGAATTGCTCCACCGATTGATGTAAGCCTAATTGATTGTTACTTGACTCTTGCGTGTCACATCATCATACCTATATAAATATATGAAAACATGCTAATCAAAAATCCTGATTTAGCTATGTCATGCTTTAATTTTGTGAACTCCTCTCGTTTAATTCACTTGTTTTCCACACTCCCATTTCAGAGAATTGCGGCATGCCTGAACATGTCCCAAACAAAAGTCAGGAATGCAACAGAGATGCCAAGTACTTTGAGCTTTATACTGTCTCAATATCTTGTAGTTTTTGCAGTTATACCAGGGTTCATCCCTTGTGTGATTTCTCCTTGCTTAATGTAAAATATCTCTCTTTGTAGGCAATTAGTAAGGTCTTCTCTCTTGATAGGGAAGCATTCCCCTCTTTAAATGGCCTTCCAGGAGAAACACTTCATAGTGTAAGTGCATATGTACTATGAAACAACTCAATTTTTGAATACTAACTTTTTATTGACACTACATACCACCTAAGAGATAAAAGTTTGACTCCTCTTTCTATCTTTCCAGTACTTTGCAGATAATCACCTCGAGAACAATCCATGGCATGGAGTAGATGAGTGGGCACTCAAGCTAGTAAGGTAACAAAAAGAATTTTTAAAACTTTAAAATGCAAAATGTTCAGTGGAAATATTATTCCGTGCTGAGCAGGAAAGTAGGTTGTCTGCCAATGAACGAATGACTGATAAAAGGCACCCATCCATGAATATCTCCGTATTATCCTGCTCAAAATCAACACATTGATATGATCAAATTTCACAGAGAGTGAGAAGAAGGGGAATCTAAGTGATCTACATGCAAATGCATGCATATATGCTTATTTCTTTTAAAATGTAGAAAATTATTTTCTACATGTATTGAGAATCTAAAATTTGCCAAATGGCTTTTTTTAGCTTTTCTTTGTAGCTAGTTTTTGTAAATACAGCACATCTTATAATGTTGTTTTCCAAACTAGCACGAACAATTTATTTTGCAGGATGAGGTAAATAAGCTTATTAGTACAACACTAAGAGAACGGGAGAGAGTTATTATACGTCTTTACTATGGCCTGGACAGTGAATGCCTTACTTGGGAGGATATTAGTAGACGGTGGGTACTGCTAAACACTATCCATGACATCTCTCAGGTGGCCAAATATGCTGATGATATATAGACATACTTTTAAAAATGCTCTGGAGTTGATTCTGTCATGCATGCTCTGGAGTTGAAATTAAAGAAAGAATGCTGATGCTAAAGCTATATTATAGGGGAGCACTTTTTACTTTTAAATCGTTGCATGTGGTCTATAATCAAATCATTCAGATGAACTTTAGCCCTCTGATTGATGCAAAAATTTGTGTGGTGATATTGACATGATTCAAATTTCCATTTATAGATACAACTAACTAGGCAACCAAAGGAAATGATCAATAATATTAACATGGTGCAATGCATCTATGAACTCGATCATGTACTCTTTTGAACCTTTACATTGGTGACATTGTGATTTCTAGGTCCTTTTCCCTGCCTGTTTATTGAAATCCTTCTTTGCTTTTCTTTTGCTTTCATTTTTTTTTTTTTTTTGGGTCCAAATTAACTTAGTAGTTTTGAATGTCATTATGTCCAACTAAAACATGCTGCAAGGAAGAGGAGACTGGAGGCCATGCTGATGAATCATTGACTTTGGTAGTGGACTACATAGAAATTGCATGTAAATATCAAGGAAGAGAAGTTGATTCTCCATTTTATTTTTCTTATCAGGAATTAAGCAAGTGTATACATACATGGTTATGTAACAGATTGTATCCTTTAATTTTATGTTGGAAGTGTCAAACACACCTTGTGATCGAGAGCTTCTAACATATGTCACAGCAATCACTCTCTAATGTATTCTATTATTGCCAAAGATTCGCAGTTGTGAATCTATCTATATCTTTTTCTACAAACTTCAAAACCAGGTTTAAATTATTGCCTTTGTTACATTACATGTGTTGTGTGGACTAACCACTTTGTCTTAATTTATTGGCAAACCATTTTCAGACTAATTAATGTGGAATCGCAGGTAATACATGCATATGCAGGTGGTGGTATCCAACGGGAATGAAATAAATTAGCTTGTGCAGTGAAGATGTGAATAGGTTGTCTTATTTTCTTCAATTTGTAGGGAGCTTATATTTTCACACCCCAAATCTCTCAATCCGCACTCGACGAATTTTTTTATATTATATTTTTGTCCTAAAATAAAAGTACCAAATTACCCTAAATCCTAATTCTCCATCCAAAACCCAGCCACCACTCATCATCGCTGGTGTGAGACCCCTAAATTTTATAAATCCTAGTAAGGCCCTTACTTTTGAATTATTATAATAAAAGTCCTCAACTCCTCATTTATAATTTTAACCCTAGAATTGAAAACAAATCCCGGATGAAACTGTGCAAATCCTAATCGACTCCCGTAACTTAGTAGTCGTTTCTAACACTCTAATATTAATTACTTAACTCTCTAATTATAGATTGATCGCTCAAAACCTTAGTTTTCGATTTCTATCGTTTTCATTCGGTTACGCGTCTTTTAATTCAAAGTAAGATAATTCAAACTAAATTATTTTTCCTAACACTATTTTAATTAATACTAAACTTGAAATAGATATTCTAATTAAACCCAAGCCCTTACATTTTTTTTAAATTTTATTTTGACCTCAAATCATTCTTTATACATATAAAAATACAAATTATTATTATAATCTTTTTCTACCAAAATATCTACATATATATATATATATATTGACAGCCGATTTTACAGCCCCTCATTTCTTACTAGCAGGCTGAGAAAACATATAAACCCAATAATAGAACACAGATGCAAAAAAATGTTATCTAACACAATATGCATAAAACAGGACATGCTAAGAAAAAAATTATAAGAAAATACTCACAACAGCCTGAACAGGTTTCTTCCCACTAGGCATGCTTTCTGCCGATTTTTTGACAAATGATCCTTCATAATCCTGCAAAAAGATTAACGTGTACATCATATTGAAGCTAGATAAACATGTCGAAATGACTCCTTGGAGGCCTAAATTCATAAGATTTAAATTTCACATGCATTTATTCAAATATTAAATTGATTACTATGCCATGCTTCATTTTACCATCATGAAAATAGAATTGATGATACTACATGATGAAGATTTATAATCCATGAGATGAATCAAAAACCAAGGCATAAATCAAGGAAATGACACGAAGCACGAACTTTAAGGGTCTAGCAACTGAATATTGAGCCTAAGGCTTGCAACACCATGAGACATAAAATTTGCATTAAGCTTTGATTTTGTCTTCTCTCATATATAGCACTAATAGCACATTATATTTCTTTTCCCAAAAAAGAGACAAATTTTACTATGAAAACCGAAGGAATCTACCTTGACCATGGATAATAGTTCAGTTCAAGGCAACTCTGGCATCATGGTTAATAAATCAGGATATGAGAATGGTGAGAGAGTCTAGTAGATTGAATCGTATCGGATCAAGAATCATAAGATTATACTTTTATAACAATGAAAAAAGGTAAAAATACCAACAAGGATGATGCATAATAAAGATGAGGTGAAAAATCACCAACCCAAAGATCCTAACTGCAATCCTACAAGATCCTACTTACAATCCAGCTATAGTATACCAATTTTAAAAGGCAAGAATAAACTCACCGCTGCAGAAGAAATGCTTCCACTAGAAGTTTGAACTGTAACTAGCATATCATAATTATTATCAGCAAAGAGAAAACCTCAAAGAATGTATCATTTTTTCAGGAGAAAAATTGTAACAAATTTAAAACAATAAAAAAATTCAAACCTGAGATTAAACCAGCTGAACCAGCTCCAGAACCCCCAATCAAAGGCAAGAGAGAGTGTCGTCGAAGCCATCTGAATCAGAAAAGACGATGAAACGATGAGATCAATTTGAAACACTTAAAATTAGTAAAAAAAATCAAGTAGTGATATTCGAGAGAAGTAGAACTTTGTTGAGTCTAAATTCGAATCGGTAATCGATGTAAAAAAACAAGAGTAAGAACACAAAAACAAACATCAGAAAAGTAATGAAGTCGTGTTCAGATCTAGAAACAAAACAACTAAAAACAGAAAAGCAACCCTGCCTTTCAAATAAAATTGATAATTCAAACAAAAACGAGAACAAATTACTGTTTTCTTCGTAGATCTATAGATACACATACTTATGAGGTAGAGAGAGTGAGAGATGCACCACATCTACCAACAAAAATTGAAGGAAATGATAGATCTGTTGTGAACGAAGCTTCAGATCTCAAATCGGCCAAAAAAAAAAAATGAAGAAGATGAAGAATCAAACCCATAGACTTCATGATCTGTGTGTGCGTGTGTGTGTGTGAAAAATGATAGATCTACATGATTGAAGCTTAACATATCATATGTTCGATAGATTTACCGTTAACGAGTAATGATAAATCGATTTTCATGATCCATTTTCTCACTGAGATGAAATCACTAACATGAAATCGCTCTGAATCTCTGAGATGAAATCATTGAGATGAATCTCTCAACCGCTTTGATAAGGGTTTAGAGAGGATGGAGAGAGAGAGAGAGAGAGATATTTAGAGAGAGAAAGAGAGACGGTGAAGCTCACTTTCGTTGGTGCTCGCTACCTCGATTTGAGAATGAACAAGTGGTGGAGCTTCGAAATCGCTCTCACAGAGAGAGAGAGAGAGAGAGAGAGCTCGATTTGGGTCATACGCGAATTTCAGATTCAAAATTAGGGTTGCATAAGAAGGGGAGACCCAGCGCGTGAGGCACAACGCATTTGGAGGCGCTTTTAAACGCCTCTTATTGTAAAACGGTGTCGTTTTATTAAATAAATATGCGACGTTTTGTAAAACGTCGTTAAATATAAAAAATAGTGACGTTTAAAAATGCGTCGTTAAAAAAACGCCATCTAAAAAAGAAATAAAGGAAATGAGAGAATTTGTTTGATTACAAAAATCAAACTCGAAATAAAAATAAATAAATAAAAACAGATTTTATTTTGTTACAAAAACAAAATTAAAATCTGATTTAAATAAATAATAATAACACTAAAAATAAATTAAATAACTTACTTGATTTATTTTCTTTGAATTATAATCTGATCAAGTCCAGTGTTTGACACTGTGTCCTTAAGACAGATTCGTCCTCTCCACGGTACTTTCAGAATTTGGACGTCTATCTCCCAAGATGAAATGATCTACTACAAACAATAGTATCACTACAAATTGTTTGACTTACGAACACACTAAGTGTTTACACTCTTTCTTTCAGAAATTAAATGCAGCAAAATGCAGAGATTTATAGCAGAGGATGGAGTGCGAAAATTAGAGTCAAATTCAAATAGGAGGCTAGTCTATTTATAGATGTAAAGGTGGCTGCTGGTTTTAAATTGAACAGATATGAAACCTATTGGTTTTAAATTCAAACAGATTTGAATCTGTTGGGTTCATAATTTAAACAGATACAAAATCGGGAAGGGCCCTGTTTGGATGTACAGTAAAAACCAGACTAGTTTATTTCGGGAAGGATCCTGTTTGGATGTACAGTAAAAACCAGACTAGTTTATTTCAGGAAGGGCCCTGTTTGGATGTACAGTGAAACCAAACCAGTTTATTTCCAATTTAATTTGAATTCTAGATTTTATTTTATACAAAATAAAATTAAATTCAAATGCTTTTGGCCCAAAAAGATTAGTATTGGGCCGAACAAGCCCAACCTCACACCACGCACTCGCGTCCAAGCCCAGGCACAGCCCAACTCGCCCGACCGGACGGACGGACGGCGGCGCTGCCGCGCGCTTGTGTGGTGATTTTTGAGTTCAATGAGTCTAGCTCATTTTGCCCATAATCTTTCTCTCTAAAACACTTGGGTACCCCTTGGGGCACACCCCAAGTACCAAACCCATGCCTTATAAACCCATTCAAAACTTTCCACCAAATCAATGTGGGACAAGCCTTATACAATACATTTAAGGATTTTTCACCAAAACTCCATTTTCATGGAGCATACTTTGGCTTCAATTTTCCATTTACTCGGTAATGGTTTTGAGCAACCAAATATACTACGTGAATCACAACGCAGCATAAAACGCGTTACCACTTTGACCCGTGAAAATCGATGCACGGGGCCCAACTAAAAAATAGACAAAACTTAGGAAAAAATTCTGGTTTTATCCAGAATTTTATAACCATTTTCAACAATCCCCCACATGAATGAAATTTGATGACAACAGAAATGCAACAATATGCAGACTTTATCGAAAGAGTATAAGTCGAAAATATCTTGCATCAGGATAGGTAGCTTTCGGCCTTGAACCTTCCATAATGATAACCTGTCGGACTTACTGGCTAACCAATGGACGTGATGCCTTGAATTGTTCAGCCGTTTGTGTAAGCCAAGACAATAGATTTCACACAAAATATCTTCTAACACATCATGGTTCTCACTGTTGTGTTCATTTTGGCCTTGAACGCTCCTGGTTTTCATGAGTGTTTCTAGAGAATGTAGCCTCTTTCATTCTCATAGAACCGGCCCCAGTTTAACACTCATATAGGTGATTC